TGGATTACTGAATAGGTCAGTTGACTTGAAACAGATTTGAAAATTCTATTCAGGAGCCGACTATACTTCTAATCTAAGCTAGACATTTTGTGAAAGTGTATGCTTGGTAATAAGAGAGACTAGAGATTTATTTATTCAGTAAATATTTTTCTGTGTATTTATCATGTTCCTGGTAGTAAACTAGGAGTTTGAAACAAAAAGTTGAATAAAAGTTGTTTTCTGGATACAAGGAGCTCCTAATTTGAACTGAGAGTTATATTATTATGTGGTATAAGCTATATGTAAACACAAAGGTGGTATCTATTTTTTTATGGAACATGGCCATACTCTTTATCTTTGAGACAGCTGGTTTAATGCCAGTCATTACTTTTCCTACATGGGAATTTGTCTTGACACTTTTAAACTTGTATGGGTTCCCCTTCTTTGTCTTATTTGTCATTGTCCCACTCCAAGGACAATCTTTTTCCTTGAAATTTTGTAATAGTATTGCATACTTCGAATCACATGCCCCACCCACTATGGAAAAAACTGCTGCAGATATTGTTACAAAGCATCAACCTCATTTATTTTTTGTTTGCTTGAAGAACCTAACTGGATTTTAAACACAGCAGTGCAAATCTTCAATATGATAGATCCCCTGGTTTTGCTGAAGGGGAAGTCACTGAGATACATGTGTTTGCTTCTTTGTGCTACACTTTCTTTGAGAAACGGGACATGATAAGAAAAATTGGAGTACACACCTGCCTCCTCCCTTCAACCCCTGTTGTCCTCTAAAGCTGACTCTAACTTTGTGATAAAGCAAAGAAGTTTTGAGATAAATAGGGAATGCTGGGGAAGAGAAAGCATGAAGAGGAGAAACCAAGAGACAGAAAAGCAGATGGTTGCAGCACAGTATTGGCCACAGCCGTATACAATTGTGCTGGACATGTTTCAAGGCTGCTGTGGTTCTTTGGGTCCTTCCTGAGTAACTCCTTACCTCTTCACCTAGCTACCAGCTGTGCTCCTCCACCCTCCTTATGTCATATTATGTAACTTTCATTCTTCAAAACCCACTCTGTTGCTTCATACTTTATGCCTTTTTATATCTGTTGACATTTTGATTGTTTTCCTTATGCAATCTTCAAACAACACATGCTGAACTTGAAGTCAACTTCATGCATGTGAATTGCAGGTGTTAGGTCGCTTTCTTTACTGTTCTTATTGTTAAGTTTTCTTAATGATTTTTGGTAGGGAGCTTTGAAGATACATCAAATGTTGATATTGATCTAATTCTACTTTATATAATATAATTTATTTTGCAGAGATTTTAAAAAAACTAATAATAAAAAGTCAACTTTAAACTAGAGTTCAGCTGACTAGAACTCTCAAGCAACTTTTTTCTCCTCAATTTTTACTTACAGAGAAAGGTATTGTGACAAGTCAGCAACTTATATAAGGGATATGCTTTAAAAAACTAACATCTCTAAGGTGAAATTTGAGAATCAGCCCACAATCTATTCTTATTTCTTTTTTTGAGATGGAGTTTTGCTCTTGTCACCCAGGTATATTTAACATTTACATCAGTAGAATTGTGCAATGACAACTAAGGTTTAGAATGAATCATTAAGGAAGAATTTTATTTATTTAACAGTAATCAAAAGACAAAAATAAATGTTGACGTATTTTCTATATATAAATATACACATGTTTTCATAGCAAGGCTTAATTAAAAAGGATTTCAGTTGCTCAAGTTTCTGATTACCGTGGGAGAACAATGAATTCCTTCAGAAAACTGTTTAATTCATTTTTCTTTTATATGTGACCTAAAATTTCTAACTTATGAGAGTAGTTGGAAGATGTTTTGAATTAGTATCTCATTTCAAAAGAGATAGGGATCTTTCTGATTTGGTGTGACCTACTTCTTGGCAAGTAGTGTAAAAATATTTGGATATGAAAATGAAATCTAAATCCCAACTTTAGATCAGGATATTAAATATCACTCAGTAATTTACTTGGGGTTTATTAAATTCTGAATAAAATTTTGTCTGTTCTCTGTGGGAAGGAAAATCATTACATAGTGGTATCAAGGGGTTCCAAGTCTAACGTGGAGGATTTTTCTTAGTGTCTGCCATGTCAAATGGATAAAGGAAATCATAAACAGATGAATACATTTGACTACATTAAAAAACATAAATCATATTTAATAAAAAGTCTTTTATTGATTTAATTCCTGCCTTGTTTAATTAAGGATATTGAGGTAGTTGAAGTAGACTAAAAAGGAAAATATGCAAATTAAAAGGCAAATAATCTTTAGGAAAAATGTTTTAAGTATGTACAGATAGTTAATTCCTTGATTAAATGAATAGCACATAAAATTGATAAGAATATTAACATTCTCATAGGCTAATGGGAATAAAAATTGACCGATACTTTGAAAAAAGGAACTAGAACTACGAAATAAATTGAGAAATGTGTCCAATGTCAATAATAGTAAAATAGATGCACATTTTATTCAATTGTAAAAATAATAATACATTGTGGATGTTTTTCAGTTACACTAACCAATGCTACAGATATGTTGAAACTGACATTTTCTTAACACTTGTGCATTATGCTTTGGTTTGCCAACACCTGGCCTATAGAATAACATCCAAATTCTTAGCACACCTCCCTTTACAATCTGTTCTCAGTCTAATTTTCTCAAGGTACATCTCCATGACTTTCCCACACACAACTTTCTTGCTGGCCTTGCTGAAGAGATGTGCTTCTCACTCTTCACTGCTACTGTCCATGTTGGTCTTTCTGACAGACCATTTACTTTCTACATTGTCATCCTCACGAATACCTATTTGTTACTCAAATTTTAGTACTGGTCTCATCTCCTCTCTACTCTCTGAAGGCTTCCTTAAAGACTTTTGTAATCTTTATTTTTTTCATTCTCTCTGCCCCATAAAATATTGTCTCCAACATTGTTATAAGGACCAGACTCAATAATTGCTTTGACATGTGGCAAATTTTCTAGATAGGAAAGAGGTGTTCTGTGATACCTACTCATCACCCATCTGATACCCTATCAAGGAAATTATTTTGATACTTCATGCCTTATTTTGGCATGTTATTTCTATTTGACTAAGATAATTTACTTCTTTTTCTTATTTTATATGATTATATACAAATGAGCATAGTCTGTTATTACTTTTCAAATGCTAACTTTTATCCTAATATCTGTCTCTATCTCTCCTCTTTCATTAGCCTTACTTTTCATACAGTATTACTTTTAATCTTCTTACTTGTCTTCAATCCAGACTTATTGTAAGGTACTTAATTATTGCAGGTGTAAGCATCTGGTAAGTTTGGTTTATCTTCTTTTGAGTCATACTGATCATTCACATTCATAGATTGAATTATGTGTTATTTTTATTATAAATTACTTTTATTTTCTGTTTTATTTTACTATTATAAATTATATGCTTGTTTGTTTTTAATTTAGTTGTGTATGTAGGCTAACTTACCAACGTATTTTATGTCAAGATAATAAAGAAATATTACACAATATTTATTATAAAAGAGGCACTGTGTCTGGCCGGTTTGAAGCTACAAACATAATGTCTCATGTCTACATAAGGTGTGCCTGGGAAGTCCCACAGAGAGCCCAACAGCCACCTTGTGTAAGAACTTTGTTAGCACTAACTAGGATGAAGCAGAAAGCCTAGAAATGTGAACTAACTATGCTGGCTATCTTTGTTCAACTACATTGCCCTACAAATGGTCAAGACTTCGGTGGCAGTTTTAAAACTGAAACTATAGATTACAATAGTCAAGGTTACTACTCTGGACATGCAAACTTTGAGTATAAAAAGTAATTTAATAGCTCTAAGGTGAAGTAAAACTTTGAATAAAAACCAGAGGTTTCAGTGTCATGTGGGAAATGGTCTAGATAATCTTTAATTGCAATCTGAATCTTCAGGTTCTTCAGATTCTTCACTACTGAATTCCTATAATTCTGTATACACAATGTTATCAGGTATATTATTAATGTTAAGTATGTTAAAAGTGAATCTAAATATCTTTTTTACCGAAGCAAAAATATTAAATAGTAATTATAAATTTTTGCTATCATATTGTATTTCTCAAGTCTAGCAATTGTCAATTTTCTTAAGTTTTCCAAGAATCTTTTATAGTCTTAAAAATTATGGAGGCCTCCAAAGAGCTTTTGCTTAAGTGGGTAACATCTATTAATATTTTCCATAATGGAAATTAAAACTAAGACATTAAAATAGAATGTAACAATTCATTTAAAGTGACAAAAGAAACAATTATATAATATGATACATAAATTATATTTAAAGAAAGAACTGTATTTTCTAAAACAAAAAATATAGTGAGAAGAATGGCATTGTTTTGCAGTTTTTCCTAATGTCTGGTATAATGGCTAGATTCTAATATTTGCTTTTGTATTTAATTTGTTGTTCTATGTTGTGGCTAACTGTATGGAGAAAATCCATTCTTACACAGATGCATATTTGGAAAAAAAACAAGGAACATTTTAATAGCCTTTTAAGATAACTGGATTTCTTTCTTGAAATATAAGTACATATGTCGAAACTCAACATGTAATTGTTTCTTAACGGTTAGTTGGAAAACAGCATTGCAAATCATTTTAATGAACTTTTCACATACTGTAATATCAAAATCCAATGGCCTGTCTTGCATATTGAATGAGTCTACCTATACATGATTTTGTACATTATATAGTCTTAATTTAGAAAATGTGGGTTCAATTATTTCTGATGATCTTTTCATCATTGACCCGATATAAAAAAAATCACATACATCAGTATCATCACTGATCTCTTGAAAAAATCATTAAGTATTGTGAATCCATCAGTCTCATCACAGCAGATAAAAATCTCTAGCATTCTACTTTTCACTTAAAAGCGTGGATTGTATCAGTGGTAACAGATACGCCTAATACTCAAGTGTGAATAACCATAGTGTTTTTGTCATTGTTTTAATTTAAGATGATGGTCCAAGGGAAAAAATGTCCAGTTCAGCCTGCAACTCAACAACTGTACGAAAGCTTTTTTCCAAGAAATAATTGTATTTCTAGATGGCATCAGTGGAAATTTACACATACTTCCCCTTTTATCAACAGAACATTAAGGTAGGTACTTAAAGAGTCAAGATTTAATGTAATTTATGTTTTGTATTCTTTCATCAAAAATATTTTTAGGGAGCATATATTTAGGGCAACTTGAATCTATGTCTCCCAGGTTGCAGTCTTCAAATTCAGCCCGAATAAACTCTCCATTTACATTTATTTTTTTTTTTTTTTTTTTTTTGAGATGGAGTCTTGCCTCTCTATCACCCAGGCTGGAGTGCAGTGGTGTGATCTCGGCTCACTGCAACCTCCACCTCCCGGGTCCAAATGATTCTCCTGCTTCAGCCTCCTGAGTAGCTGGGGTTACAGGTGCCTACCACCACGCCCAGCTAATTTTTGTATTTTTAGTAGAAATGGGTTTTTACCATGTTGTCCTGGCTAGTGTCAAACTCCTGACCTCAGGTGATCCACCTGCCTCGGACTCCCAAAGTGCTGGGATTACAGGTGTGAGCCACTGTGCCTTGCCAAAAAAAGAACATTCTTAAATGAAACCAGCATTTTTTTTTTTTTTCTGCTCGTGCATGGTGGGAAAAAATACAATGAGCACTAATACAGTTTGGCTCTATTTCCTTGATTTGTGCTAAGAAGCACTATTTTTACCCTTCATTTTGCCATTGTAAAAATATTAATTTACTTAGTGAAAAAGGTAAATAACATGTTAGTACTAGTAGGAAAAGTTTTTGACAGATCCCCGCTGGAAGGATCTCCATCTCAGGTGTTCACAGAACACCCTTTGAGAACTGCTCGTCTAGTCCTTCTATCTTTCTCTCTCTAGAATGATTATTTCTTACTTTTTATCTATCCTAAAACTTACATCTCTGTCTCCATCCTCATTCTTAACTTTATTTACTTAAATATAGAGAATTTCTCAAACTCCTTTATCAAATCTACCTACCAACCAGCACCTGGGTCAAAATATTCTGCCTTCCTTCCCATTTCTGTGGCTGAATTATCTATTCATGCTCCTATCTCATGCCATCTCCACCACTTTTGCCTTTGATTCTGAGACAGGAGTTCAGCAAAACTTGTTTCTCAAGACATGGGTTACAAAGACCCTGCTGATAAAACAGAATGCTGTAAAGAAGCCAGCAGAAACCAGTCAGAATCAAGATGGCAACAAAAGCTACCTCTGGTTGTTCTTACCTCTCATTATGCACTAATTATAATGGATAAGCCTGCTAAAAGAAACTCCTACCATTGCCACCAGTTTACAAATGCCATGGCAACGTTTGGAAGTTACATGGTCCAAAAGGGCAGGAACCCTCAGTTCCACTCCCTGCTTTTTTCCCAGAAAACTGATGAATAATCTACCCCATATTTAGCATAAAATTAAGAAATAACCATAAAGATGGCCAGCCAACAACCCATGAGGGCTACTCTGCCTAGGGAGCAGCCACCCTTTTACTCTTTTGTTTTCTTAATAAACGTGCTTTCATTTTACTCTGTTGTCTCACTCTTGAATTCTTTCCTATGCAAAGTTAACAACCCACTTGGCCTCCTGGCCTGAGCCTCAATTTTGGGTTTTGCTGTGTGACAATTCCATCTTCCTAAGATGTTTAAAATTGGACTCTTCATCTTCTTCCCAACATGGTACATTGGCAGTCTTCTCATCTCAATTAATGGCAACTCAACCCTTTCCATTCTGTTGGCCTAAAGCATTGAAATCATCCTGCATGACTCTCTTCTATCATCCCTGACAGCTACCCTGTCAAGATACCACATTTTTTCTAGCTTCAAAATACATTTAGTTTTGAGTTCTGTCTTAACACCCCCACTGCTACTGCTCTGGTTCAAGCCCCTACTGATTATTATTCTAATTGGTTTGTAATTGGTCTTTTGTCTTCCAATCTTGATTTTCTATAGCCTATTATCAAAACAACAGCTAAAGAGATATTTTAAAAACTTAAGTCAAATCACATTAACTTCAAAAGTCATCCTATCACACTTAACGTGATAGCAGAAATTTTCAGCAGCCTGTCAGCTTTGCATGATTTGGCCTTCAATCTTTTCTTCCTTTCTCACTGACCTTATCTCCTTTCTCTTTTTGCCTGACTTACTTTGCTCAAATCACAGAGGCCTCCTTGTAGATCTTTGGAGCCACAAGGCATGATCCTAATTTACAACCATGCTGTACTTCTTCCTGAAGGGCATTTCCCCCAATACCTGATTTCCCCCTCACTTCACATTGCTTCTCAAATGCCACTAATCAGAAAACTCTCCTTGCGTACTTATATAAAGTAGCCTTACTACAGCCACTCTATTTCCTTAACTTGCTCAATACATACTTATAGTAAGTATCATCCTTGGACATATTTTTTATTTATTTAAGTATTTGTTGTCTATTTCTATGATTCTATTAGAATGTAAGCTCTGTGAAGACAGGGACATTTTCTTTTTCTTTAATTAATTTTTTTTTTAACTTTAAGTTTCAGGCTACATGTGCAGAATGTGCAGGTTTGTTACAAAGGTATCTGTGTGCCATGGTGGTTGGCTGCACTTACTAGCCCACTAAGCCCCACATGCATTAGCTATTTGTCCTGATACTCTCCCTCCCCTTGCCACCCTCCCACCTTTTCTAGCTCCAGTGTGTGTTGTTCCCTTCCCTGTGTCCATATGTCCTGATTGTTCAACTCCCACTTATGAGTGAGAACATGTGGTGCTTGGTTTTCTTTTCTTGTGTTAGTTTGCTTAGGATGATAGCTTCCAGCTTCATCAGTGTCAAGACAGGGACAATTTTCTGATTGTTACTGCTATGTTTCTGACTCCTAGAACAGTTCCTGGCATGTAGCAGGCATTCAATACAGATGTTTTTGACACTTAGATCAAGATGGCTGGCTAAAGGTGCTCAGCACTAACCTCCCTAAAAAAGAAGGACCAAAACAACAAATAGATAACCACAAGTTGAATAGAGTGTCTAGAGAACACTGGAATTTAGCAAGGAAGTGACAGAGACTCTCTGAGGCATGGAGGCTTGGGATAGGACCATAGAGAGCAAAGCAAACAAACTGGCCAGGATTAACTGGAAGAACTCATTCAGGGAGAAGTAAAGCAAGAGATCCTCAGCAGTCCACACTCTTACTACAGATTCCTGCAGTCCTAGTTATGAGAGCCCAATAGCCCTGAAGGCCCCGAACACAATACAGGGAGCTGCCTGGAGTCCACAAAACTGTATTATTCCACAGAGGAAATTTACACTGGGTCCTCCCAACTCACTGACACCCAGGTTACTGCAGCCTGGTGCCATTTTGAGAGGGGAGCAAACACAAGACTGCATCCTGCCCAGGGGCCTAATAGCCCTTGCATCTCCATATCCCTGGGCACCATTGACATGACACCACATCTACCCAGAGGGCTGCAGTGTTTTGACACCACTAATGCAGCCATGACCTTGGGACCCAAGCCAACACAGTGCCCTGTACTCTGGGGAACAAGAGGTCCAACACAGCAGGAAAGTTGCCCTCAAGACAGTGGGAGCCAGTGTGTGATCTTCTCAGAACCTGAGAGCTGCCCACCTGGGGTCTGCTGCCCTTACCATCAGCAACTCTGTCCCCTTCAGCAGTGGAACCACCCAGGGGCTGAAAACTGGCTTGCCCATAGCCAGCTCACCATTGTCGGCAACCCTGCCCCCTTCAAATTGGATCACCAGAGCCCAACAACCAGCTCACACAAGGCCTGCTGCCCCGGCTGTCAGGTAACTTTGTCCCTTTGGCAGCAGAACCACATGGGAGCCTGAAGATCAGCCTACATGGGGCTTACTACTGCCACCACCAGCAACCCTACCTTCCTCAACAGTGGGGCTGTATGCACCTGCATGGCACCCAGAGGTCCAAGGACTGGTCTGCCTGGTTCTCGCTACTACCACCATTGACACCCTGCCCTTTCCAGCAGCATAGCTATTGCACACCTGTGCATGCCTCTCAGGGACCTGAGGGATCTACCTTCCCAGTGTCCTCATCCTCAGCAAAGCCACATCATAGCCTCCACAAGCAACCACAGCCTACACCACTGAGGCATTTGCAGACACTGCTGTTACTGATTATGGCCAAAGAAATCATGCAGAGACTACACTACTGCATCCACCCAGAAACAAAACCAAGCACCCTACCTAACCAACACTATAGGACACATTTACAGGAAAAGGTCTCTAATTATGGAAGCTACTTCATAAAGTTGGGAGAAGTAACTATTTCACCAGAAGTTCAGATATAAACATAGGGCCACAAGAAACCAAAACCAAAACCAAAACCAAACCAAAACAAAACAAAACAAAAAACAGGAAGGAAACAGAACATCTCCAAAAGAACACAATAATTATCGAGTAACATGCCCCAAAGAAAAGGAAATGTGTGAAATGCCTGATATGGAATTCAAAATAATAATCTTAATATTAACAAAATCAAGAAAACAATTCATGATCTAATAAGATTCAGCAGGAAAAGCAAGGGTGGTTAATGGGTACAAAAATAAAGTTAGAATGAATAAGATCTAGTATTTGATAGCACAACAGGGTGACAATAATTTATTGTACATTTAAAAATAACAGTATAACCAGAGTGTTCATAACACAAAGAAATGACAAATGCGTGAGGTGGTGAATACCCTATTTACCCTGATGTGATTATTATACATTGTATGCCTGCATCAACATATCTCTTGTACCCCATAAATATATACAACTACTATGTACACATAACAAAAATCTAAAAATTAAAAGAGATTCAACAGAGAGATAGATATCATAAAAAAGAACCAAACAGAAATGTTGGAAGTGAATAATTCAAGAAATTAAACAAAAAATCCAATTGAGAGCTTCAACAATAGACTAGAGCAAGTAGAAGAAAGCATTTCTAAATGTGAAAACAGGTCGTTTAAAAATAACCATTGAACACAAAAAAAGAAAAAGAAAAAGGAGGAAAAAAGAATGAAGAAAGCCTCTGTGACATATGGGACACCATTAAGTAAACAAAGTTTTGTGCTGTGGGAGTTTCAGAAGCAGAAAAGGT